TGACGTTTACGAAGTATTTGTGAATCAGGAGAAGAGTTTTCGGGAAGGTCTCTTTACGCGCAAATCACTCGCATATTTACTCGTATATTTACGAATGTTTCATGAATGAGACCCATTAAACGTTAAGTACTATATATATATATATATATATATATATATACTGTGTATATATATATATATTATGCCTTTACACATTGCAATGCATAATATTTTTTCATAAATAATTGTAATACTTATAATTATTTTAATTGTATATCCTGGGCAATAATATAGTTCACATTTTTCGACAAAAAAACAATCAACCAGTTGAGAATTTATATATACACCAGTAGTCAACATTTGAAGTGGATCAAAACCTTTCATCAAAGTTACACATGAATTTTGAACAATACCCGTTCTCGTCTTAGGACAACTTTGATGAACTTTTTTGATCCACTTTAAATGTTGACTACTGCATACATTCTCAACTGGTTGATTTTTTTATTGTCAAAAAAATGTGAACTATATTATTGGCCAGGATATACAATTAAAATAATGAAGTATTACAATTGTCGTTAGAATTATTTATGAAATGATATTATGCATTACAAGGTGTAAAGGCATAATAAATTAAGGCATTATGAACATTCAGTGAAGTGTTCCTACTTTATCCAAACTTACCCAGATATACTCACGTTGTGTATTAAATGGCAAATCTGAGCTGCTTGATTGTTATATCATTGAAAAATGACAACTATATTATCGCCCAGCTATATTAAAAGTTGGATGTATAGTATTCTACTTCCATACATATACTGACAAAGCATACTACCGTATATAGCAAATCTCAACTAGGTGGGAAAATTCTCATTGCCATAATGGTGTTTTATTTTGAATAGTAAATAGTTTTAATGCTATTTTTCCTATTAGATTTTTTGATTGCTGTATTACAGTTATTTATTTTAATCCACTTACATCAAGAGACAGTGCAACAATTGTGATATTGATTCAAGTAATATTTTTTTTTCCTAATTTTTTGTTTTGTTTTTTGTAATGATAATTTTGGGGGGAATTCAAATAAATCAAGTATTGTCACAGTAATGGGGAAACGAAACAAAATTATTGTTCATAAAATTAGGTTTCATTGAAAATCTTTGATGTAATAGTTTCTTGTTTGTTTTCTTTCGATATTGCAACAGAAACTTTTGACTGTCTTTTCCAGCACTTTAGACACAGTTGCTCCTTTGCGCTTAAAGATTAAAGAAAATAGTCCAAAGCCGTGGTACAACGAGCACACCCGGGCCCTTAAGTCAAGTCAAGTCACCTTCATTTATATAGCACTTTTAACAATATAGATTGTTTCAAAGCAGCTTTACAGTGATAAAAGGAAATTAAAGTAACAGAGATTGTTTTGGCTTTACAGCAGCTCTAGAATAAAGTTATTGTCCAGCTAAAGTTAGTTTTGATTAATTGATTCACTTCCGTTGCAACGATCATTAGTTATTAACTTAGGGGCCGCTAACACGACACTGTTCTAACAGAAAACACTCAACGCGTTCCAGCCCGCTCATCCGCACAAAACAGTGCCTGGTGGCTCGAGAACGCAAACCCTGAAATAGATTCCAAGGTGCAAGCCTTAAAAATTTTTGGAAAAAAAAAAGGTTATCTCTGCGCAAACCTCAAAAACGCAAACCCGCGAAAACGCCAACAGCGTGCACATGCGCATTACGTGTTTAGTCTATAGGTATGCGCGTTTGAATATATATGTGCACAGGCGTTTAGTCCTTTACAAACCAACCGTCCACAAACTACTTGTCTGGCCTTAAAAATGTATAATACAGAATTATTTATCGCTTCCGAATAGCCACGCAAACCAGAATTATCCCGACAAAGTTTTATCTGTACAGAGGTAAAGGGAAGGAGGCCTTCACAGGGGAGAGACTAGTTGACACTTCAGGACTGCGTTGTCGTCATGTCCAGGCGCTGGTCCTTCATCAGATCTGGATACGGCCTGGAGAGAGCTTAAGGATGCTCCTTAAGAGAGCGGCCAGAAAAATGGAGCGTAACTAGAATAAAACAAAACTTTTTCCGCATTTCATGGAGAGAGAGCACGATTGCGTACAGAAAGGCCTTAAAAACTGCTAGATCTGCTTATTTTTCAACCTTCTTAGAAGAAAACAAACAAAACCCTAGGTATTAATTTGAAACAGTGGCTAAATTAACGAGAAATAAAGCTTCAACCCCAGACGTTTCCAAGCAGCACATCAGTAATGACTTTATGAACTTCTTTACTTACAAGATTGATACTATTAGAGAAAAAATTATAACTATGCAACCGCCTAGTACAGTTTTGCATCAGACAGTGCATTGTAGTCTCCCTGAGGAAAAATTTGATTCATTCATTGTTATAGGAGAGGAAGAATTTGCTAAACTCGTTAAATCATCTAAATCGGCAACATGTATTTTAGACCCTATACCCGCCGACTAAGCTATTGAAAGAGATGCTTCCAGAGGTCACATATCCTCTTCTTAATTGGGGGGTACCGTATCATACCGTCCACGTAAACACCGGTATACATTTTTACATGATAAAAAAGTCATATCGCGATATCAATGATATAGCGACGCGATGACGTATGGCGCATTTACGTTCCCTAGCGCGCACAACAACAACACCTGTCTGAGAGTAAGAGCAGCATGTCAGCCTCCGGTGACGATTTAACACCTAAAAAGGGAAGCTACTACAATAGTATTTTAATAATTCCCGCAGCTACCACTTATAATGCGGGAAATTCCCCCGCAAACATTGATTCACTTTAACATGTTGATTGTATGTAACCGTTATGTGTGGATTTGAACTATAATGTGGTATTAATTTGTTTCTTTAAGTTTTTCATTGTTGATACTTTGATACTACTCTGAGTGGTGGGATATGTAATTTATTATTCCCAAGTCTTTCAGTTATAAGATTGTATTGGCTGTTTGTGTATTATTATTATTTTTCTTTGATTTGTGAGTTTGTATGAGTAAATGTATTACTCTGTTTTTTGTCTGCTTGTGCAGATAATTTATTCAGAATGAATTATATTTATTAGATAATTATTCTTTTTGTTAATTGTGTGTTCATTGTGTATGTGTGTGGGCATTTGTGAATTTTTCTTTTGTTAGGTGCTGAAGGCTTCAGGCAGGGATCCTCCCTTGTTTCCTCCACGTGCTGGTGGTGGGTTGAGCAATGTGTGCTGTGTGCAGTGAGGACCACGGAAATTGTGTGAATGACAAGAGTTTTTCTTTTTTAGAAGTGAGAGGTTGTTTTCCTTGTCCTTAGCCCTCAGCCTTATCTTATATATATTTAGAGTGTTTGTTTCATTGCATTTTTGTTATTTTCTGCGTTGATTTATTATGTTAATCGTTTATGTGTTGATTAACTGTGATTCCTTTTTTGTGTGAAATTTAGTTTCAGTCATTCTCTGTGAGATGTCAGAGTGGCGTAGTCAGTTCTCTTAAAGCTGTATTATTCTAATCCTAGTTGTTGGGCCTTGCTACAATTCCAAGTTATCAAATGTGGCGACTCCTAAGCGGAGGGAGCCCAGAGGTGTCTTGTTTGTAGCGGCTTCGGCAGTCACTTCCACTACTACTAACTGGGTACTTCGCCCACGCCAAGCTGGATCACTTTTTGCCACATGACAACCCTGTTGCTGTGGTAACAACATGTGTCTTGGGAATAGCGCCTTTGTTTTAGCCGTACAGTTTCTTCTTCTCTTATACTGCTTTTTTTTCTTTGATACACTATCTGTCAAATAAATACATTTCAAGGTGATCAGGTCGGTTTTCTATTATAATTCAGCACCATATTTGTCTATATGCGTCTAAAGTTCACATTAGCATCACATTATATTCAGATTAGTTAAAGTGTTAATTGAGCTATAGCTCCCTCTTGAGATGAGATGAGAAAGAGGAATTATCAAGAATCAGCTTTTGCAATATTTGTTTCAATTAACAGTGATAAACTATGTTACTCACATGAATATGGCAAAGCACCTAGTATTTCCAACAGTAGGGTGTTTGGCCCTTTTGAAATGAGCTATAAATTGCTACTTTCGTAGTCAACATGAAATTTGCAGCTCATTTTACATATATAATGAGATATGCTGGGCTGACTGTTGTTTGGCAGTGTCTCAAACCACACTGAACTTTGACACAGGACTCTTGAATAATAAAAGATAACCTTTTACCCAGAAAAATGAATGTACACGATGACAACACACCTATTTTAACTAGCTTCAATGGAATCTCAAAAATTCATGCAAGCTGATGCCATCTTTAGATTAATTTAGTCCATGTACAATGTAGATGTTATCATACAGTTATCGCTTTAAACAAAATTCCTTGCATTTTGTGTCGGTATCTATAAAGGTTTTAAGGTTTTTAGTCTTGCATTCTTATTTAGTTTAATCTATTGTAATTTATGTTACACTAATTGTAATTGTAATTGTGAGGACTACATACTTATTATTTAAAATAAATAAATTCATCAATATATAAAAAAAATAGTCAGAGGCTGACAGTACAGCTGCTTAAAAAAAAACAATGTTTTCTTAACACCTCAGAGCTACAGTGTTTATACTTTTCTTAATTATTAAATGAGTAGATGTGAAGATGGATCATGTCAGGTTTTATGTCAATCATATTTAATAGCACGATTTTGGTTTGATTATGCAAAAACTGTGAATGAGCTAAGACAGCTGTGGCGCAGGGGGACATTTTAATGAATAACAACTTTGTGTGGTCCACACATAAGTCAATAACATACTTTCTAAAGACTTGAAATATAGTGCATTTACTATATGGAAAACTATTATGAGGTTTTTTTTTTATGTTTCTGTTATTTTAAGAGCTTGACAGCCTTTGTTCACTATATGCTATTAATGTATGGAACATGAACATACATTTTGTTCCACAACAGGACTTTCATTTTTGTGTGAACTATTCCATTAAGCAATCCTTTATGACCTTTCACTGACCTGTGACTATGTTCTCTGAGAGAACATTGATCTGCACCTCGACTGAGTGTTTGGAGGTGTAGGTAATCTCAGCGCTGACATGGGCTACTTCACCGATGAACATTGGGTACAGGAAGTCTGTGCGCTCCACCCGGGCCAAAGCAGCTAAACAGTGATCCTATTTGTCAAAAGAAATAGTCATTTATTAGCAGGATACTACAACTCAGTGTCTGAATCAATAGATACATTTGAATTGTGTGTGTGCATTGTGCTACATATATGTAGTGCCCTCTACTGGCTACAGCAGACAATGGCCATTTTTTAGCAAAAGGCTTGATTTAAAGAAATAGTTCACTTAAAAATGAAAATTCTGTCATCATTTACTTATGAATTTATTTCTTCTGCTGAACACAAAAGAATATATTTTGAAGAGTGTCGGTAAACAAACAGTTGATGGACCCCATTGACTTCCATAGTACTTGTTTTCCCTTCTATGGACGTCAATGGGGTCCATCAACTGTCTGGTGGTTACAGACACTCTTCAACATATCTTCCTTTGTGTTCAGCAGAAGAAAGAAATTCATACAGGTTTGAAACAACTTGAGGGTGTGTAAATGATGACAGAATTTAAATTTTTAAGTGAACTATTCCTTAAGGTGAAAGAAAAAAATATTTATCACAATTTATAGATTTTTAAAGATTTAAGGATATATTTAAGCATTTATACTAAAATGATGTATAAATACTTTACTATGTAAATAATATATAATTTTTTTCACATTACAATAATGAGAAAGATATTGTTTTGCATTAATGTAATGAGAATCTGTGCGATAAAAGGCAAATCATTTTTATGTCATATCATAGCTGATATGGCAGCAAAAATGACTACTCGTTTCTTGAGAGACTTTGTGAGTTTCACCTATCACTTATCAAAATCAGAATGTCCATCAGTTACATCTTTACCATGCTCATCTGTTCTAGAAAAGCACAAAACACATCACACTTTATATATAAAAAAGATAGTGGTTCCAATGTTGAACTGTAAGACTAAAGGGTATCAGGAAGAGGAACTCACCCCGTTTTGAGTATTGCAGTGGCGTGTGCCAATGATGCATCCTGCTTCCTCAATCATCTTCAGGATAGTGCCACCATGAACATTACCAACAATGTTGGCATCATCAGGACGCATGATCCTGAAAGATGTATGAAAAATGTTTTTTAAAAACCTTTACATATCATTTCTAGGCTTCATAGAGATTTACTTATTGATGTCCATATTCAGTATTGACCAACATGTATACTTTTGAATAAATTACTGTAACAATTCAAGTGCTCACAGATTTTATCTATTAAAAATATTAATATGACAATATTATTAAATTACATTACAGGCTTCAAGACTCGATTAATTCATACAGTATATGACTGCAAGCATTACTATAGTCAATAATTATATTTATATAAGTTCCCATGTCTATTGTCTAGCCGTATTGAAACTTTTTGCTGTTTACATCACTCGTTTTCTGTCTTTGTGCATTCCAAACAGTTTGTCAGTCGGAGATGCAACATTTGATCCTATATATTTTATCTATTCTTAGAGGGATTATATATTTATAACTACTCTAAAAATGGACTGTCACATACAGTAGGAGGTGTATTGGTGTCATCATAAAAGACATAAGTTGGGAAAAAAAGCATTCAAGTTCAAATGACGCAACAAATGACCACATACAGTGAAACAAAAACATCCACAACCAGTTTGGGAAGAAATTCTGCCAAGTCATATTATACCAAAAACATACCCTATCATATTAAACTTCTTATAAACCTCCATGAACAAACTAAAGTTATGACAAGTTCACTTAATTGTTTTGTTGAACATAAAAATCCATGTCAAACACAATATTACAAACACACAAAGCTGAAAATCTGGAAGAACATGAGGGTGTCTATGTCTGGATTAATATGAAAAAGTGTGTGTTTAGAAGAGTATGATAATGTGTCTGTTAGTCAACTCTACCTGCTGAGCTCATAAAGAGAAGCCATGACTTAAAAGTTAGACGAGAGAGTCTTGAGAAGTTCCCAACACAACAGTGACTTTCAGCGATAGTAACATCCTTTCTTTCATTTCCTCCATCACATCAACTTATTCATGACATCATCTCCACACTGACTCAGACTCCACCCACCACCTTCATTCAAATTCAGTGCGTATTCAATCAATTCACTAGCAATTCACTGCAATTTTGTCCTGAATAGCATACAGTACAAGGCTCTAGAACACACTAGATGTTAACTAAAAGGAAAATAACTATTATATTAGTACTAAACCTGTTACCCAAAATTGTTCAACTGCTAGTTAGGATTCAAGTTGACTTGACTTGACTTGACTTGACTGTATTTTGACACTGTTGTAAAATAAACACGATGACACATTCTATAATTATGTGCAAAGCTACATTATTTAGCAACAGCAGACAGTCTACATTTACGCTAATACTTACAAGAATTCTTGGTACAAGAATTATTTAACCTGATTTGTATTCATAATAATTACTAATAATTGTTTATTAAACAGTTATGTCTTGTATCATATTGCTAATGCCTCCGTTGTATAAAAGTAATAAATACAAATGATTGCATTAAGTGTTTTTACCATGGGTAAAAGGATTAAATGTTAAAGTATTATGTTTCAATAGCACTTGACAGACATGAAAAAAAAAGAATTCCAAAATAGAGTTCTCAAGTAATGAAGTATTTTTCAAGTTCTTTACACACATGAACAAATACTACCATGATGAAAAAATACTTTACAATTTAGAAAATGTCATTATTTTTGTTCGCATTAAAGTAAAAAGGTGCTTAACTGTCATTAAAGTGTCACAATGCAAAAATAAAATAAAATACAATTAAAGGTCTAACAATTGGCTTCCTTTTCTTTAGGAAAAATATTATTAATTTCTGATTTTGAGGATAGATGTGATCCGAATACATTATTGACAGGTAACGGGTAACCCAATAAGAGAGCAGACATGGAAAATGTAGTGAAAAGGACCCACTTTGAATCTTTTGCTTAGTACAATATTTAATGTGTTCATGCCAACCATCTAAACAACCGGTACAGGATTTCCCAAAGTAACCACAAGAATGAGAAAGTTTAGATTTCTGTCGACTGATTGATCAAACCACAGTTTATCATTAACAGGAAAAATCTCTTGTTCCTTCACCCACTGATTACACTCAACTTTACCAGAAACGTTGCACTTTTGGATATTGAAAAATTGTACAAATGTAATGAAAAGTTTCAAAGTATCAAGGATTGAGTTATTTTGGTGTCATGCTGTTGTGTCTATGCCATACTGTCAACTGTCTTAACTATATTGGTCACATCGCACTCAAAAACTTTTTTTTGTATTCAGTTTGCACTGCTTTAGTTCACTAAAATAGCTCAAAAGAGAGTATATAACATGTAATTTGGTTCAAGTTGTTTTTTCCCCCTATCACTGATACTTTAATTGTGTCTTGCGAAACAAAAAGCACAACAGCAAATATCCTACCTTGGAATATGAGGATAATGACAAAAGCGTCTGATCTCTCTCAGAAACAAAATGCCAGGCTCAATAAAATGTAGCATATTGGCTTTTTTACACAGTAACAAAATGACCTGATTTGTTAAGCCCTAACAAAATGGATCTAACCACACTAAGTGATTCACCCTGGCTGCTAAGTAAATTTGGTCACCTCTGAGTAAATGTGGTATCTGCGCAACATTTGCATGTGAATATAATGTGTTTGGTTATACTCACTATAGTTATAGCAAAATGCAATGTGAAGGAAAATGAACTACATTATAATATAAACCATATGTCACACACAATTATGATGATTTACTCTGTAAACTTAGTAATAAGCAAATATAAATTAAAATACATATATTTAGGAACACAGGAACACAATACAAGGGGGGGTGGGGGGGGGGGGGGGGGGGGGGGGGGGGTTAAAGGGTTGGTTTGTTTAAGGGTTAGTTCAGCCAAAAATAAAAATAAAATTGTTATCAATTACTCACTCTCATGTTCCAAACCCGTAAGACTTTAGTTCATATTCAGAACACAAATGAATGTATTTGTAATCAAATTTGAGAGATTTCTGTCCCTGCATTGACAGTCCACGCAACTATTTGACACTTCAAAAAGGTCATAAAGAGATCGTAAGACCAATCCATATAAATTGAGCGGATCAATCCAAATTTTTGGAAGAGACACGATTGCTTTATATGATAAACAAATTGAATTTAGGCCTTTATTCACATACAAACTTTCATGAACACACACATTAGGTGCCTCTATACCATGAAGGTGGTTAGACAGGTGTGTTTCAGTTTAGTTTGCGGCACCATGAAACTGGCTCATCTTTTAGCAGCATACATCGCCATAGTAACTTGCGCTTCCCGTCTAACCTGCTCCGAGGCTGGTTATGTTCTAGGTGGGAGATCTCAAACAGAAATTGGACCAATCAGCTGTGAGCAAAGTGAAACGTCTGACACAATAAAGTCACTCCCACAGCTTCTCTTGCTGCAAATTAAAAGTCACTAGGCCTACATAGTAAAAGATTTTTTAAATACAAAATTGTCTGGCTTTTAGATGATTATTTATTATAATTATAATTATTTTATAAGATTTATTATTTATATAACTATTATACCCCTTATCCATTACACAAGATCAATTTTAGTTTAATAATTATTAAACATTTAGTTTAAATGAACAAAATTATATACAGATGTGTAATATAAATAAGATTTGGAATCGATAGATAAAGCTTTTAAAATGACTACATGTGAGCTTACATGTTCAAGTTTCTGAATACTTAGGCCAGGGAAGGGCAACTTCGGTCCCGGTCCCCCACTGTCCTGCAGAGTTTATCTCCAGCCCTAATCAAACACTGAGCAAGCTAATCAGTGTCTTCCAGATTATGAATAAGCTACAGGCAGAGTTTTTTTTTTTTATCAGAGTTGGAGCTAAACTCTGCTGTACTGTAGCCCTCCAGGGCCAAAGTTGCCCCTCCCAGACCTAGGCTATATTGTCAACTATACAAACAAACTTTCACTTGCACTAGCTACGTTTACATGGACACTTTTTCGTTCAATCTACATGGATACTTTTTCTTTCAATCGGAATGAAATCACTCTGATTGATGAATCCGAACATAGTAACATGAACGAAAATAAAGTGATCTGGTGGTTGATGTGCGTGTTTATATGTCACAAGCTTCTAATCAGAATGAATTTTTTTAATCAATTCTGAAATCATTCCAATTGATGAATCCGAACATAGTGTGATAAATAAAGTGATCAGGTTGATGTGCGCGTTTATGAGTCACAAGCTTCTAATCAGAATTTATTTTTTGACATGCGCACACACACTGCATGAGTTTCCAACAGAGTTTCCCGCTGTTTGTGCATACTATTCTACATTGCTTTTCTTTGTTTTAAAGAGCAGACTCAATATGTATCTATTTCAGATCCTCATTAGGAGACATTTGGAACGAGACATTTCATTTGGAACGAGCTCAATCGAGTCGATTAAGGTGTTTACATGAAGGCTTTTCAGTACGATTGAGCCATCAATACGATTATCCGCAGCCAAGCAAGATATTTTCTTCATGCTGTGTAAATTAATTTATGTACATCATATTATTTTTTAATCTCTTCATCTTCAGCAGAAGAGAAAAAAGAATTTTGATGATTCTTTCATGAGAAGTGAATCGCAGTTTTTCTGTTTCAAAGCATGTGATTGTTGTTCGCTACTGATGTCACATTCATGGAGCACGCGCTCCATGACCTCAGGATCAAAGCCTGAGTTGACAGAGAAAGTTGATGATCAGTGTTATGGTACAAACAAAGCATGATTGAATTGGTTTGGTTTTGTCAACTAAAACTTTTGTCTGGTTTTGAAACTATATCACATATGTTTGTTCAACTACCATTAATGGTATAGAGCCCAGTTATGGTAAACGGAAAGTCAAGCATGTTCAACTGACGTGTGCGAGAACCAAAGAGGTTCATGCTCGTGTTACGCAGCACGTTTGAGCATCCGTAAGAACCAATGACATTTGTACACATCACTCAAGTGCGCTTGAGTTTATGTTTATGTTTGCTGATCAATGTTTATATGCAAGTAAAAACCTAAATTCAATCTGTTCCATCATATAAAGCGATTGTCTCTTAAGATATTTTGGACTTAACTGCTCTAGATAGTTGTATGGATGGACTGTCAAAGGAGGTTTTGTGTAGAAGTCTGTATCCCCTGTTTCCTATGGACTGTCTAATCCTAAACATACCTGTAACATTCCAACTTAAACATATGGGGAACAGGGGGAACAGACTTCAACATAAGAGAGGGACAGATGAACAAAAGTCTTTTGAACGACACCAGGGTGTCATTGAAGACCTATTTTTCATTTTTGGGTGAACTTGCCCTTTAATGCACCAAACATCCAGCCATAGAAGTCTACAACAGGTTCTCGTCGTGAAATGCACAAGCAAAAACTAACACAATAGAGGGACAAAACTTGCTTATTGCACTCTGAAAAAAAATATCAAAATTATCATTCAGTCTTTCTTTCACCACATAAGCATACGGGAAAACATTGGTAGTTCAAATGATTTATCAAACTTTTCAACTTACGAACTCAGCCGGACAACTATTTGAGTCAGATTTGACGGAAACGTGGAAAACGTTAAAAAGAATAATACTGGTCAAAATATCTTCTATTCTAAATATCTGTACAATTGTACTATGCGAAACTTGACAATTCAATGACTATTAAAGTATCAGTGTCATTGTTACTGTCCAGACCACTGCTGCAACACTACTGTGTTGTTGTCACATGATACATGTTCATTTTCTCAGCGTTGATCAGGATTAACCAATCACAGTCGTTTGGATTAAAGTTATGTTATAGAGATTACCAACGCGGATTTTCATCTGTAAATCAGGTTAGCAATAAACAGAATTATACGATTATACGTTTTAGCAGCATGTTTCCAGTATGATAAAAAAAAAATACAAACAAACCTCGATGTAGAATTCGGCTTTCTGGCCCCCCAGTTTAGTTTCCACAGGTGCTGGAGTTTGTGTCTCATAGCACCATTAGCTAGTAACATGTAGATTAGCAAATTCACACAAACTGCCGTTTATGCGAGCGTGACAAGTGACAACAAATAGCGACACATCGTCAAAATCTCATAAAAATTTGCACATGGTTGCATACCATTTACAAGCACGAGAGGGCAGTCGCGCTTGAGCATCGAATGGCAAGAAGTAGCCTCTGTCACCGCGCTATCGGCTATCCACAGACGAGGCTTTTTAAACATTTAATCCTGATTACTGAAACAAAGGGATAAACACACGAGCACCAACATTTATGCCATGAAAGTATCACGCATAACAACCCTTTCGATTTAATTTCTACTTTCTATTTAACAGTTTATTTGGTGATCCGCTTATCTAGAACTATCATCATAGCTTAATCTAATAGGCTATACCACGCTATTTAAGTCCCGTATATCTCTTGAATATAAATGTTCTTTCTTGACCACCTAGATAACCTTGCTTCCTTCAGGGCTCTACGTCAGCATCACTGTTGAGGTCATCACATGCGACATACGATGTGCCGGGCATGAAAGGTGTGAGAGAGAAAAAAGCTCCAGCATCCGAAACCTGTTTTCAGTCATATGCAATAAACTAAAGTAACGTCCTCGTATTTCGTTCTCTGTAAAACGTGTTAGTGATCTCCGAAAAGGATCTTATTCTATTTGTGGAGCAGGCGGATTATTGGGCCGCTTTATCGGACGTAAAATTGAGATCCATTCATTGAGCCACTAAAGGTTAGAGCTATATAAAAGCGTCTTACCTGCATATCTGGATGGATGATGTCGCTTGTGCATTTGAAATTGACATTATATGAGCTTGCGTCGAGGCTCGCCTTAAACCCCGGTTCTGTGTGTCGTAATGAAATAGACTGAGTCAGGCGGAGCGAAAGCTGCAGGTTTGAAGGGTAAATCGATTGGCCAGGCTTCTTCCACTGCAGTGGTAGCCTATAAGACATGATGAAAATCAAACTGTTGTTGATCATTTAGCTTAAGTGCGGGGCGCGAATCGTTTATCGATTCATAAACTGTTTTAGAAAGTTTGCTTTCGTTTATTAGCGGAAGTATGTGGAGATAGACTAGCTTAAACTGTTACTTTGTTGTTCTTTATAAAGCAAAGAAACGTTTTTTATATTAAAAAAATATCAACCGATTACATTCTGGACTTTAGGTTTACCATCATGTTTATACATTTTTTAAATGAGTATCAATAGTAAATGTTTTACACAAACTCGTTTATTTATTTTTTCCACAGTTGAACTAAACCACCGAAAGGTGGCAGCAGAGACCAGGTTTTCCTGCAAGCGTTCATAAAGAGGACGGTGTCAAGCAGCTGTCACTGATTATTTGCATTTCTTTATTGCAATATAATGCGTCTCTATAGCACGCTTTGTATTTATCGTGCAATTTTTACGCGAATGAGTTTTTACGTGCATATGATACGCACTGTGAACCCCGTAGGATTAGTGGTGTGGGGTACGCCATAAAGTGCGTATCGCAAGCGAAAACTGCGTAGGCTATCCTATGCACGTAAATATTTATTTTCGCATATTTAACTGCACGAAATATAATGCGTGCTAGAGACGCATTTCATGATCAGGGCAGGCTGATTTAGAAGACGCTTTTTTGTGCTTCATGGATCATTCAAAGTATAAGCATAGGCCTATGGGTTTATCAGTAGGCCTAATCTCTGATATTCTATGTGATCATACGCATTGTCTTCATTTGCGCGCCCAAATCATGTCATTGTTATTTTTTATAGTGAGTCCATGCTTTTCCTTTGTGGACTGTTTGTGCTCTTAAACCCATTTTTATTTTACTTTAGCTATTTGTTCAGAAAGAATGAATGATGCAAGGGAAACCATCTGTGTATGCCGCAATTTTTATTATAAAGTGTATAGCACAACACATAAATGTATAAACAAGTAGTCTAAATACATAGCACATCCCCCAAAAAAGAGATTTCAGTGAACAACACAGTGCTTACAATTAAATAATCCGCACCAACTCAGGATACTGAAGTGTGAGGAGCAAATCTTTTACCATTAATAACCCTTGGGGTTTTACAAGGCGTTTTCAAGAGCCACCGACGATTTAACCCGCAATGGGGAATAAATCTATAACCACGTTATGTACAGGTCACGCGCAGGATCTTTATGAAAACAAAACTATTTGAACGGGTCTGTTCCATTACTATACACTGGACTGGGGGAAAAAACAAGTATACAATACTTATATGTTATTTGATGACTCGTATTCATCATCAAGTAGCCTACATTTAGGTTAGGTAGCATCAACATTTAGGTAGCAGATATAGGTTGCCGATATGTACAATTCTGAAAGGCTTGTATTATTAGATCATAACAGTCATTTGTATGGTAGCCTAGATCTACCAAGGTCTCCAGACTTCGGCATCGGTGATCAGTGGCACAGGCTGTTGACTGAGAATATCAGCGTTGTTGCGTTTTTCGGGGTTTTCGATTCTTGAGCTGCTAGATTTCAAATTCAGAAGTTTTTGCTGGATTTGTGACATCATTTTGGAGCTCTGTGCACAGCAGTTCTGGCAGGCTGGTGTCTTGGACATCGTCGAACGCTGGATGAACTCGTTGACGCGATGGCGCGTTTCTGTGTCGAGGTTGGTTTGCGGTATACGAGCTGAAACGCGCTGTATGCAGGTCGTGTACCCCTCTTTAAAACTAACGGCACCATCTGTAAGCAAACAATAAATAGACATACAGTTTAGTTTACTTTGAAACTATTTTATATCAGAATGACATAATATGAATTGAAATGGAAAGGATAGCCAATCTGAAGAAAACTGACCTTTAGACGGAGTGGATTGAATATCAGTCAGGAATCGAACGGTCATCTCCAAAATATCAGCTTTCTCCAGTTTAGAATAACGGCAATTCTGAAATAGAGAACAGGCAACGGTAAGGAAAAAAAAACGTAACACATCAGCACTTCACGTTGAAGACAGACTATTCAAATATAATGCGTTTAACATATGCGTAAACAAAACCTACATCTTTGCCTGTGAGCGGGAGAATGAGCGCTTTTAATCGGTCGAGGCTCTCGTTGATGCGCGCTCGTCGTTTCTTTTCCAGTAATGGTTTTAAGGTTTTTCTCAGTTCGTTTGCCTCCTTTCTCATGGCCACGGTGCGGGGCGCATAAGATAGAGCAGATACAGCAGTGGCGTTGGGAGTCATGTTGAGGTTGCTGTGGGAAGATCGTATGCTGGATCGAGGAGCCTCGCGGGGTTTATATTCCTGACCGGCGCGTCATGGGAACGCCCCCACGCCTCAGAAAACTCCTCTGGTCAAATAACTTTAGACTGTTGAACAAAGGGACGCGTCTGTAGCGTGTACACATTATATTCCAATCTTAATCTCAGTTTGAAAATCTATAAACCAACATATATTGGTTCGATATAGCCTGCTGTAATTTAATTTTTGCTCGTTCACCCATCATGTTATATTTAGACTGAGACATTTGACATGTTTGCTATTATATATTTAAACTACCTTAGTTTATTTATATTTATTATTTGACTAATTTACCCAATCTTTCAACATATGTTAATGCGTCTTTACGTGTCTTTTTCACTGTTGAACGGAATAAAAGCCTGAAACTGTTTAGGAACAATTTATATCTATTATTTAACGTTATATCTTATTGACAATACTTTTTCTATTGTTCTTTCAAATAGAGGCTTGCGAAGAAAACATGTTAATGAGAAGTAGAGGGAAGCTGGTGACGCGTAAGGACACGGGATTGGGATCCAGTTTAGGGCGGGATAAGCATTCATAATTTAAATAAAACAGACAGATTCCCAAGCCACGCCGTTTTAAAGTAACATCTGTCTGTAAATTGTGATAAACAATAGCTTTTCTGTCTCTCTCTCTCTCTCTTATGATGACGTGGGTCTTACACCTGTAGCTATACCGCTGGCGTTCATAGGGAGGGGTTGAGCGCACGCGTCCCCCAGCAGACTGCTAAGTTGCCATGCAAACCAATATGTGATCACTACATTCAACAAACATTGATTTAGCGTACAGTGCTTGTCTTCAAGTATATAATCCATGTTCATTTGTTTGTTTTAAATGATAGGACGTGGACTATGCAAAAAGCAATGTTTGCGTACGCACGCCTGTTGTATGTTATACTTTCCTTTAGACTATGTTTATGTGCATGAAAACCAAACAGACGTTTAACCCATGATCGGGCTGTCAAATATTTTCAGCTAGGGGACCTTGGAGCCCCATGGGATCCACGCGTCCTGCACGCGTCATGTAGAGGTCTCCAGATGGCCTCCCCTCAACCAACTCCCCTTTTAATGATGGTGTAACTTGTGCCCCTCATCTTTCTAAAGTTCCAGTCTTTCGTTGTTTTCTAAAAGCATTTTTGGCGTCGTTGGCCCATCTGTATGCGCCACGTCAATGGTTTTGGATTACAAATGATCTAACAAAAGAGATCGTTATTCGTTTATTTTGCGCGCAGACATGTCGCTGTTTTTTCCATATCCATTTCGGTGAATATTACAAGCGCCATTCATAGGCTATTCTTCTGCTTGAGACGCGTCTTGTAGCATAATTTATATACCAGATATAGCCATTTTATTATATTCAAACTGATGCAGCGTGTTCAAAATACGACTAGGAAAAAAGAAACGGGGGCTGCGAAACCTACCCATGTCAACAGATTTAATCTTATTTCAGCTAGTGATATGCAATTTCAGTAGTGTGACATTTGTTTTATTTTAGTGATTGTTTTATTCTTTTTACACATGTAGGTAAGCTATGCGTTTGTAATAATAAAATGAACACAAGGGAGCGTCAGAGTTGCGATGTCTCTTTTGGTAATCAGTAAGTGCCCTGCACGCGCCCCGTTCCCCCAAGGGTCCTTTAGGGAGCGTGTCAGCCAATGTTTCACTTAAGATGCGTTCAGTTACAACTCTTTTTGATCCTTTTTTGTATTTTAGCGTGGGTGCCCCATCTGTGGCATCATAGCGTACACTCACATAGAGACCTTTTGTCTAAACTCAATCCAGTACGTGGGAACAAGGTAGTTTTAAGGAGCAAAATCCAGAAAGATGAGCTGCACAAGCTGCACAAAACCCCATGTCGAAAACCATTTGAATATACGAGTGGGGGAGGTTACTAATGACAGTTAACGGTATTTAGCATGTTTAGACACTCTTCTTATTTGTTACTTGGTCTGTCTGTGTCTCTCGTCTGCCATAGATCTGAAGATAAATGCTAACTGAAATAGTGTAGTATGTTGCCTTATTCAGAAGAATATCTACATGCTGTTAACATTTGAATGCTGCTTTTATATTGAAAAATATGTTTAGGATACTCATTAGAATTTGGTTATGTGGTTGTGCTCTATTTCAATTCAACATAGTCTTTTTACAATGTCATATACTCGTTCTTTAGGGACACATTTATGTATGTGGACAACCTCTTCTGATAAATGGTTTTCAGTAGGCCTAATTAGTTTTTCTTTTAAGGACAAATCTTAATGCTATAGTATATAGGCTACCCAACACGCTCTCGCTCCCGACAAGCGTCCATGTGATGAGTTGCGAGTGAGAACATGTTGCAACATCATAGAACGACATTATAGAGAATTGTGATTTTTCAACTTTCAGTCTGGTTCAAACTTGTTAAAACAAGTTTCAGAGAGTGCATAATTCGGTAACACTTTATTTTACAGATGTCATTGTTACATATGTTACATGTAGTTACTATGGTAATAACTATAAATTGTGCATAAATACATGCAACTAACCCTAAACCAAACCAAACCCTAACCCTATTAGTACATGTAGTTACTTAATATTACTCAGTACTTAAATATATAATTACAGTGTAACAAAGACATCTTAAAATAAGGTGTAACACATAATTCTTAATAATGCCACTGTATTTAGCATTACAATAATATTAAGATGTTTTCACAGCAATTGCTGGAATAGCCAAATAGAAGGGGGTGTCCACACATCAATTTACAGTAAATACTGTCAGCTGTGGTTGCCAGAAATTCATTAAAAAAAATTGGTGACAATGTTTGAATTATGGTATGGCATATTAATGTATATTTTACAACCATCTATTTCATAAACTAAAATCTGCTTTTTACCTTAAAATGTCCTGTTAACCACCAAAAAGGCAGGTGGTACAACAGAAAGTCACATCAGAGTCCATAGAATTCAGAGTAACATAACACAAACATAACACAAAACATTACTGATTACATAAATGAGAAGAAGCAAAATAATTTATATACAATATCATGTCTGATATCGTGTCACACAGGAGCTCCTGGAAATGTCCTTTTCCTATTTTTCACCATCAATTATATAATTCATATAGTTTTACTTACAAAAACTATAAATTTAACAGTATTTTACAGTAAAATTATAGGCTATAATGCGATGGTTAACCATTTGCAGTTTTTCACTAAGGTAACTTACAATAACAAACAATGGGATGAACACTACGTAATTGTTGTAAACATGTAAGTTTTCATTCATTTCATTCAAATTACAAATCATATCCATCATTTTCAAATATTTTCACAATTTACAGTAATTCACACAGCCAACCGAGACTTTTATATATCAGTGAAAACAATTGCAGCTCTTTTTGTTGGTTTTATACAAATCACAAACATTCATGTAACATTTGTCCAAACACATCAACAAACAAAACTCTCAAGTGCACATGGAATGATGATGAGAGGGAGAGGTTGAGTTGAACAGGTTGAAAGAGAAAGAGAAGAGGAAAGAGTGTAAGATGAGGAGAGGGCATGGAAGAATACAAGGGGGAGAAGAGATGAGTAGAGTGGAAGGCATTGTGGAAAGAGCACAAGGAGAAACGGTACGAAGACATGGACAGAGAGGAAGGGGACAGCAGGATGGAAGAGGAGGGAAACAGAAGGTAAAGACAAAATTTAAATGAAATGAGTCATCCTAAATGACCATGTGATTAATCAAGTCATTTCCTTGAGAGAAGCTGGAAAACAGATCCAATGTTACTATGGCTTTCCGATTAGATGTATGAGTATCTTGTGGAAGGATCATTGAAAACTAATAAGTATCACCATAGTTTGCCCGGATCTATCAAGACTGCATTGGCTGCCTATTAAGCATTATATACAATTTAAAATCTTGCTGATTACATATAATGCCCTGAATGTTTTAGCTCCTCAGTACTTGGTCAAGCTGTAGTTCATTGTGGCCTGATAATTCTGGATAGTTGATAATACCTAGAGTATCAAAATCACCTGCAGGTAGCAGACCTTTTACTATTTAGCTCCCACATATTTAGCGTTGTCCATAGATATTAAAATCACCAACAATTAGGACTTTATCTGCAGCCAGTACTAACTCTGATAGAAACTCTGATGAGCAAATTCTTTGATAAAATCTGTATGGTGCCCTGGTGACCTATACAGCAGCCAGCACAAATGTCAAACGGGATTTATCACTTATGCTATAACGTTACAGAATGGACTATCTCTTTTCAACAGGTAAGGTCTGCCCCAAAAACTTTTTCAATTGTCTATGAACCCTATATTATTTTGCGGACACCACTTAGACACCCAGCCAGATATCTCATCACTCCTTTGAACAGGAAGGGGGTCAGAGCAAATTACAGTGCCTGACATCGTACTTGCAAGTTCACACACCTCTTAAATGTTAATTTTGATCTCTGACTGGCGAAGTCGAACATCATTAGTGCCAACGTGAATAATAATCTTAGAGAATTTTCGATTTACATTAGCCAAGACTTTTAAATTTGCTTTGATGTCAGGCGCTCTGGCTCCCGGCAAACATGTGACTATGGTGGTAGGTGTCTCTATTTTTACGTACCGTTTAATATAGTTGCCAATAACTAGGGCACTTTCAACAGGATTTTCAGTGGGTGCTTCACTGAGTGGAGAGAACCTGTTTATTGTTGTTATCGGAACGGAAGAGCGGTGTTTTGTCCCGCGACTACAGCGTCTCACGGTCACCCAGTTGCCCTGCTGCACGGGCTCTACAACCAGAACCGAACAATGTATAGAGTTCACTAAGCTAGTCGCATCCAAAGCAGGATCCAAAGCCCTTGCATTCTTACTATCCTCGATTAAAGTTTGGATGCGTGTCTCTAGTTCTGAAATCTTCTCCGTCACCCTGACTATCTCTCTGCATTTATCACATGTAAAGCCCTCGGTGCTGACAGAGAAGGCTATACTATACATGTGACATGAAGTGCAAGTGACAAT